TCACAAAGTCTACACACATTTGATATTTCTGTAATTTTAACCATTTATTTGAATTTATATTTTCATATAAACCTGTCTCTAAATGGTACATAAAATTAATCAAACATGTGATTAGTCGCTTGTACATGTTGGTCAGATGGTCTATTATTCTAAGTAGTCAATTCTTGGCCCAAATAGGCATTACTGTAAACAAGATCATATGATGTTACTTAAGAATCTGGCTATGGGAGTTTTTGGCCTACCTTTGGTGGACTTTAAAGAGAAACCAAATCCACTGCTGGATTTTTGCAGATAACAAAGCTTGGCTTTAGGTGCTGGTGCAGACACTCCATTCATGGTGGGCTGGCTCTGACCTGACTGGGACTGAGTGTCAGCAAGATTCACACCGTTGGCTTTGGCAGTCTTATATGCCTCTTCTCCAAGGACATGCAATGTGACGCTCATCCCACTCTTTCTCACCAAATCTGCAACCTGACCCATGAAAAAGACAGGTCTGAGGTTTACCACCAAACTATTGAAATAAATTATATTGAAATAAATAATATAGGATTTACAGAAAGTCGATTTTCAAATGCATCAAACCTGGCTGTGCTCCAAAATGTCCACAAAAGTTCCATTGACTCTGACTATGCGGTCTCCGTCCTTCAGACCGGCCAGTTCAGCCATGCCGCCCATCTCCAGGGCTCGGATCAGGTGACCCTCCTCGCCGTGCTCCACTCGAAGGTAGAAGCCATAGCCCTGACCCTCTCGCTTGGTCAGAGTAATGATACGTGGTTTTGGCCCAGCCATTTTCCCTGTTAGGAAACATCTATCGATCAGTGTTGCTTTTACGCTGAGGTCATCTAACGTGATAATATGCTTGTCTTGGTACATCTGATGCTATCTTATCATAGATGCACACAATTCATTATATACCAGTCATCTGGTGATAAAACTGATAATCACAATTAAGCAATGAAGTGCGAATGAAGTGTGTGGAGACCAAATTTATTTCTCACAATATATAGCAGAGTTATAATGACAAAATATTGTGAGTTAAATCGCAGG